ATTTTGTCTCACAATAATCTCTCTGTTATTTGCCACAACATTTTAACTGCTTGCTGCTGCCCACTGGCAATAGCTATAGAGTTGTTTTGGTGTGCAAGGACAAGATGTATTGATAATGGTTGTTACCTACTAACACTACTAACCATTCCCTCATGATTAGGAACTGTAAAGTGGGGTCAAAGGTCATGATTGATAACTGTGTGACCACTCTAAGACAAATTATAAACAAAGACTATAATGCACAAAAAACTTGACTGATAGGGATAAGCGTTTTGCATCGCGATCACTGAATATATAATCACTGGCGATCTCAGACAAAGCAACACTGCATTCGTGCCACTCCCCAGGAAGTGAAGTTTGTAGGATTTCTTTTTACAAGCTCATTCCTGTTAAATAACAAATGTGGTAGTCACGACTCTTTTAGGACTGTCACTGGTCACTGGCGCGTTTGAATAAGCTTTTTGAAAAATCTACTACAAGTTAAGCTTAAATTAAGTTAAAACTTAAGCTTAAGCTTGAGCTTTTGATTAACCTAAGTTGAACCGAAATACCCGACATGACAACTATTCTGTGTGTTTAAAAGCTCACCTCGACGATGAAATTCCAGAATGGATGCGTTATGTAGATTGATATAGGCGAAGTATCTTCTGATTTGTACTACACAGATGCAAAAAAATTAGAAGATTACTACAAACTTCTGAAAAGTTTCCGCGCGATCGATCACCTTCAAAATTCATATAATCTCAAGCTTGACACACTTACCTTGTATTTGTCAAAACCTTTCAGTTCTTCAGGAGTAAGATACCTGCCTTTCATTCCCTCAAAGTCTGCAGTTTGCAGTCTGTGATAAGAAGACGATTTTTCCTTCAAAGAGGAAAGATCTTTTGAATCAGGCGGCATATTGCCTGGGGAGATGGTCGAAATAGCTAAATGTTGTAATCAGTTTCTTTGCCGCGTTGGACACTGGGACTGACCGACCAATCACACCGCGTTAACGCGCGCGCGTGACAGCTGGCCCTCGCGCGCGCGCTCTAACCCAACCTGCGATCAGGCGGTCCTTCTTCCCTTTTTGTTTTGGAGGCGAGGGTAAAAGGTTCTTTTTTCCCCTTTCCCCAAAAGAAAAAAAAAACCTGATCTCAAGTTAGCTCTAAGCACGTTCTAGGGGAAGAGGATTTAATAGCGCATAATTGAATGCGGCACGTTTGTATTGTTTTTTTTTTTTAATAGGTGAAGCTACTAGCCAGAAACCGATTTATCCAGTTCTGTCACCCTCTATAACAACAACTCTACCGACCTCTCTCTGTCGGAGGCGCACAGACGGGAAAGCCCGAACGCCAGCCTCGAGTATTCACCCCTCCCCGCCTCCCCGCCTCCCACACTTCATGAACATTCAATAACTCCAGCCAGCAGTATTACCAAAACAGGAAGTTCGAGCGCATCTTTGCCTTTGCCCGCGAGTTTTGTGCTCATGTGAAATCGAGAGCTTTTAAGTCTTTCATCTGTGGGGCCGTATAGTTACAATAGCCATTTGTGTATATTTTTTCACCAAAGAACATGGGAGCATACTTGGCGAAGCCAAAAACAGAGAAGATATCTGATGGTAGCGAAAACGGAAGGCTGCGTTATGGAGTTTCATGCATGCAGGGTTGGCGAGTCACGATGGAGGTAAAAATTATCACAAAGCTGATATTACAATGTAAGACTTCACTCAAGTAAAACAAATTGTGTTTGTTTCGCTATTTAACCCATCCACTCCAGCGTTCCAAAGGAAGAACATGCACATGTTATTTGGCAAAGGGCTGGAACGTTAACTTTGTATTAAAAAGATAACAGTTGAGCTTGATTGCGATCATTTGATCGTACACATAAGCTTGAATTTTTTATACGAAATGGGCTTTAACGGGCAGGTAGATGGCTGTCAGTACGGTGTTGATTTTGAGAAGGTACATACACGATATTTTGTACCAAAGAAATGCAGACCCTAACCTGTTTTATAGTGATAAAAAAGCAACTATTACTTCTAAGGTTCTAATTATCGTCTTTTGAATAATCGATTTGATTTTTTCAATTTTTAGGATGCTCATACTTGTGAGCTGGATTTTGACGACAGTTCTACTCTTTTTGCGGTTTATGATGGTCATGGAGGTAGATTTCTTAAAAAACTGCTAAATGATATTTTCGTTAACTATCTAGTGTCTGCAAACACCTCATCACGCTTTATGAATGTACGGCAACTGCAGCTCATGTCTGTGAAATCAATGTCATCAAATACGTGCAAGCTACAGAATACAGGGCCTTCTTTGAGAATTTATCATTTCAAGTGTCCTGACTGCTCACCATTCGAAGTGAACAAGTACACTTGATTAATTAAGTTGCACGGTGGCTCATCAGTCATGACTGGCTAGCTGTTGTGCTTGCATTAGAATATTATATACCTTTCTCATGAGTCCCTGTCCATAACCAATGAGTCCCAGTTTTAAAAAACGCTGTGGCTGTATGGCCGGTAACCAGTCAAGGTTTTCGAAACACTAAATGGCCGACAGTCCTATATTCTCAGTAAATTTCACAAAATGGAAAGATTCTACCTAATCTAAACTATGTCGATTAAGACATGTACATGTCAAGCGATCCTGAAATGCTTTATAGATCTCAAGTTACGCTGGGCTCAGAAGACGAAACCGTGTTTTGTGACACTTAGAACTTTTTTCAGCTAGACTGCCGGTCAAGGTTTTCAAAACACTAAATGACAGTCTCAGTAAATTTCACAAAATGGAAAGATTCTAGCTAATCTGAACTATCAGAGGTAACAAAATCACTGGCTTCTTGTCCAATAAACTTACCTCCCAATCATTATATCAAATGTTACAAACAGCAAAAATGAACTTTTAAAAACTGTTAGCGTAACTGTCACATTCTTCTTCAAATTTGTCCATCTTTGCCTCCTGTTATAATTTTTATTTGCTGGGTCATTTACACCATCTTTTAATGTATTGAGTGGTTATGGTTATCTCATAAATTTCATGACACAGCTCCTTTAAAGCAATTGTTTTATAATTTCATGATATCTCAGGTTCAGAAGTAGCCCAGTATGTAGCAAAGAAACTGCCAGAAGTGCTAAAGAACACAGAAAATTATCAGAAAGGAGATATTAAACAGTCAATGGTGGATTGTTTCTTGGAAATTGACCAGCTCATTATCAGTGAAAAGGTCAGCTGTTAATATTTTAAGGAAGTTAACCCTCAACCTGTGCAAGGTAAAGAAATTCTATTAAACCTCCAGCTCACTTGGGAGAGTGGAAGATGAATTTCTAAGGACAGTAATTGTTATTTCAACTTACCTTAAACTGCCACTTTTTAAGCCCTGGTCTTATAAATCTTTGTAAGGGGTTTTAAGAGGGCTTATAAATCGAGGGGCTTACATTGTATATCCGAGAGGGTTCACAACTGGAATAGAGAAAGTGCTTTGAAACAAGCTATAGCAGTGATGATTAAAATATGTTTTGCACTTACTGGTTTTAAATAGGCTTCAAAACATCATAATAAATCAAATTGACGTTGATGTACATGTGGTGGGGGGTCTATATTTGGATGCATTTTTTTGATTACAGGAAGACGGGTCTATAACTTTGGAGGCTTATAGGTGGGGGCATTTATAAGCAGCAGTTTTCAGTAGTTGGAGCCAGGATTAAATATATTTTTTTAATTTTGCAGTTTGTAGAAGTGTCTAATAATGGAGTGTCCATTTTTTCAGGGTCTTGCAGAGTTGAAGGAGTTGGCAGGACTTGATAAGGATCTGGATGAGGAAGAAGACCTTGAGATGTTAGAACAAGAAGCAATGATGCCACTGAATGAGCTGCTGGCAAAGATGAAAGAGGTTAGTGAGTAGCGCTGAGGAAAAAAGAAAAAAGCATGATAGGTTTTTAGTGAATGAATAAAGGATTTGGTTTCTATAGAAACCATGGTGTGGTGTCAATGGGGGAGTGAACCACAAAAATTTGGTTTTATTAGATGAGATGAGGGTAGGTATTCTGACAAGGGGTTAGTGCTCAGTTTTCTGATCCTGTCCTATCTTATCTTTGTGCTGTTTTAGGACCTTAATTCATCTTTTTTTTAAGTTCTGAGGCTAAAACTTTGCATGCAATATTGCTTGCAACGAACGCAACACTCCATCCATTTAGGTAATCAAGCCACCTTGAGAGAAAGTCATATTGAGTTCGTAATGTCACAGGTAACCCAGGCTCACTATCCTACTAAGCTAAGCTACTATTATTCATAAAGCAACAATTTATAAGACGTTGTATGAGAATTACCCTATTTCTCCATAATTGAGCGAAACGTGCAGTAAGTTTTTGCTTTTAAGCTTGCATTTAGTATTTTTTTAAATGTTTATTTGTGTGTTGACTGCGTTTCAGACCTCTTAGGATGTCAAGAACCTGAGAACAACACTACCCTTCTAAGCTAATTAATTTTTCATACAGCAAGAAAATTATAAGGCATTGTATGAGAAATATTCTTTGCTCACAGAATTAGCAAACTGTGCATTGAATATCGCTTTGAAGCTTACCTTTAGCGTTTTCTTGTTTTTCTTAGTGTTCTGACTGCATTTCAGACCTCCTAGGCACTCTTTGATGCCTTTTTTGAATGACAGTTTTTTACCCAGATGACAGTAGAGAGAAAAGAAGAAAAGGTTGGCAAACCTTTATTGACCGGGTTCACTTTCGGTGGCGATAAATTCTGCCAGAAACAGATGTTCTGATAAATAATGCACATTTCAATCATTCACATTGCCAAAATTTGCTCAATTTTGGAGTAATAGGATAATTCTCATACAATGGCTTATAAGTTGTTGATGTATGTAATTAGCTTAGTAGGATAGTGAACTTGGGCTACCTGTGGTAATATACCCGAAGGTGGAAACAACATGAAGTGTATTCATCGTTAATTCCATACACATTCCGAAGATCCTTGATACTTACAGTTTTTCAACCCTCTCATGTGGTGCCAGCTTCTAGTTTTTACTGAAAGTTCTTTGTGTACATGTACTTGGTGGTTAGTGCCTTGGATTCCAGATTGAGAGGTCTGAGTTTGTCTTTGTGTTGTGTTTTTGGGCAAGTCACTTTATTTTCACAGGGCCTCACTTCAGCCATGCCCCAGTTGTGCAAACATTGGGTAGTGCTATCCATAGGATAAATCAATATCCGGGGCTTGACATGAGTCTCATCTAGTAGTCTGGGACAAGAAGATTTTCTGGGCAAGTAACGTTGGAAACTTACTTGCCCAATAAGGGTCCAGGCAAGATATTCTCCACCTAAATCATTAACTAAGACAAGCAAGTAGTTACCCCGGGCAGGCAAAACGTAAGAGGTGCTTGCCCAAAGGACAAGCTAGAATTCAATTTCTTTTTAGCCCTGCTATTTAATGGATAAGTATTAGGGAACCAAATTGCTTTATTCAGTGGATAGCATTATCCATTCTTTGAACAACGTGGGCCAGGTGTATAAATGGGTACAATGGGCTGGCATCACATCTGGGAGAAAGTAGACATATTCTTAGTTGCATCATGCTACAGAAACTGAAATATAAGCTCCAGCCTGGTGAACAACTGAGTTCAATTACACCAGCATTACCCTTTACCTCAACTGTAAGTATTATAGTACACACACAGCAAACAAAGAGCTCAGATCATGCATGAAGTGGTTGCTTACAAGAGGTTAAAAGTGATGTAAAGTAAAACCGTCACCTCAAAAAGTGGGCTCGGTCACTTGTGAGGGGTACTCTTTTATGAGAGATTCCAACTATTAGGCTTTACTGGGATAATGTTTTACAAAGGGGCGCTCAGTCTTATTTGAGGATGGTGCTTGTGAGAGGTGGTTGCACATGGAGGGTTAACTTTGCTTTTCTTTGCTCTATTATAATATGAAGGTTGTTGTTGTTTTTTTCCAATTTCTGTCTTTCTGATGTGGCAGATGAAAAAGGCAAAAGGTGGTGACAATGATGGAGAACTTTTAGAACAATGGACAGAGGATGGGAATCAAAGTACAGCTGATCTATTTCTTTTGTTAGTAACACTGTGGTTATTTCTCTTACTTTAACCATACATGTGATATACCGTTCTCTTGGAGGTCATTTGACGATCATTTGGTCATCGAAAACAATAGTCACGTGAATACCACTACTGGATACATTGACAGTATGGTGTGTCATTAATAAAATAGGATTTGTCTTGCATGGACTTTCCTTCAAATTTGGGTGATCAGCATCTAATTCCAAGAGAAAAAATCCTAGCAGCAATGATAGTAGATTAGTTTACTATCAGCTCTCTTTAGTTACTGGTACTATCAGTTGTTGGGAAGCTATTGGCCTCTTAAGCGTGATTTTGTTACATCTGCGTCCTGCATCCCTGATGCATAAAAGTTCAAGGCAGTGAAATTTGCTCATCTGACCGTGACATGGTCATGCATAGGGGCCATTTGTATTTGCTCTGTGTGTATTTGCATTGAGTACTTCAGCCATTTATTGAGTGAGGCAGCACATAAAATATGATTATTTAATTATATTTTCACGTGGCTAGGTGTGATTTTAAGCAATGTCAGCGCCAAGCCAATGTTGCCTGTGGTTCCACCCATTTTTGCATACGACCTGCAGTACACCCCTGGAGTTTGCTAGATAGTTTTTGTGCATCTTGTTTTGTGCTCAAGTTGCTTTGCTTTCCAGCGGTTATTGTGGATCAATGCTCTTGTGGCAGACTGTCAAACTCTGTGAAACTGGTTTACAAGTTGTCAGTCCATAACCAAGTTTTGAAATCTCCAGATATCTTGCAAATCATTGGCTGAACTGGGAAAAATTCAGGAAATGCTAACATTTTTGCACTATTCACAAAGTTTAACTTGTTTTCATTTTCTTTAGGCTCCAAGAATGATAAAAAGGATGAAGCCATTATAGAAAATGGTGACACAATAAAAGCTGGTACGTGTAGCTCAGATTCAGTTGAGAACTCCACCAATGGAAGTTTGAAAAATGGAAAGGAGGAAAAGGAGAAAGATACAGAAGAAAGTGAAAATGATCACAAATTGAAGCAAAAAGAAGTTGAAGAAACCAGTGATGGTGAGCAGGCAACAAATGAAAGCAAAAAAAATGAAGAAAAGATTCCTAATGATGAAGCTATTGATGATGAAGAGGAAGAAGGTGATGAAGACGACGAGGAAGAGGATGACGAGGATGATGATGATGATGATGATGATGATGATGATGAGGATGATGAGGATGGAGCGCCATTTCAAAGTTCAGATGAAGTGAGTATTATTACGCTAACAAAAAAGTAGTCATAACCTTGAATTTCAAGTGTAGTGGGGTCAGGGGCAATATTTTATTTGTATCGAGGCATTAAGATACCAACTTTATAGGACTTAATAACGCATGATTTTGTTTTATATTGGTGTGCACTCACCTGCATGTGTATGCATAATTTATGAGAACACAAATAGTGAATTCCCTTGAGAGCATTACATGACCTGTATTGAGGGAGGGGAAGCATACAAGCAGGGGCCAGGCCAAACTCTGGGTACGCTGCTTATGGCTCCTGATCCAAGCTAAAGTGATCAACCTCCAAAATGGTGGCAGATTTAGTTGTTCTTTTTGTTTTGATGATAATTGGCCCCCAATGAATCCTTTCAAAGTGAAAATTCTTTTGAATTCTGCAGATGCAATCGAGGCAAAGGGGGCTTTTATCATAGAAAATATAGCTCCAAAATACTAGGAAATCGTGAGAAATAGAGCAAAATCATTCAATTTATTCAGTTTCTTGCTGGAGTAACAAGAGTTAGCGCATTACATCTTGTTCAATATCAAGTTTACAGTAATAAGCATTCTGCCATCAAAGTTGAGCGTTAAAAAAATAAATGGATCTCTGAACCACCTTGACGTATCAACGAATGGACTGGATAGTCTTCTGTTTATTAACTGTAGGGATATATTCACCGAAAGCATGATAGTTTTGTGGAGTTTGTTTCAATTATAAGAATAAACGCCTCTTATCTATTAACGCTCTCTCTTGGGCTCCTAAAATTAAGTTATGTCCCTGGGCATCTACTGTATCATTTATGGTACCTCAACGTTCTCACATATGCAAACAAAGCTTTGGATGATGTGAGTATACTTTGTCTAAAAAGTGATCCGAAAGTGGCTTTCGTTTCTCTAATTGGAAGCTTTTTTGCACAAATCTAAACCTCATCAGTTTATTTTTTCTTGATCTTTGTAGGTTGGCTACGACAGCGGAACTACAGCTATTGTTGCTGTCTTATGTGAAAATCAACTAACAGTTGCCAATGTTGGAGATTCGCGCTGTGTGCTTTGTCGGAACGGTATTGCCCTAGAAATGTCCACGGATCACAAACCGGAGGATGAACATGAGCTGAATAGAATCCATAAAGCTGGTGGAAAGGTTACTTGTGAAGGAAGAGTAAATGGGGGTTTAAATTTATCAAGAGCTCTAGGTATGTAGCTTGATTTAATGCAAGGCTGTCGCGAAGGAGGTTTCGCTGGGGTTGGGTAACCATAGCAACTAAAGGAGGAATCTCGACCTCTTCTTTTTAACCCTTACACCACTCAGCTGCAAAGCCTGGCGTTATAAACGTCGTTTCAAAAACTCATTAATAATTTATAAAGAAGAATTTAAAAAAATAATGTTTAATGAGCGTCTTTATATTTGATAAAGACACGGCTAAACTTTACGTCCAACTTTTTGGCCAAAATAATCCCAAATCTAAATATTAGTGCAAGAATGAGTTGATCTATATCAGAGATTTTGAAGCCGTGCAAAAAAACAAGCAGGAGTGTATTATCAGATTTAAAAAAAATCGAGGTGAAACCGAGAGTTTTAAAACCTGATAATACACTCCATTTGGTTTTGTAAACAGTACACAACACTCCTGTATATACTGTACACCTTACAGACAACAGTTTAAGTTACTTGACTTTTATTCGACTTTTTTCAGGTGACCATAGCTATAAACTACAAACGGAGTTATCTGCGCATGAGCAGCAAATCACAGCAGTCCCGGATGTTAGACAAACACAAATTACGGAGTAAGTCAAGTAGGATTTGCATTGCATTGTTTTTCTTAAACCTGTCCTTTTTTTTGCGACTAACTATTTGTCAACATATGACTACAATGCGGACGAGGAGGAAAGCTTTGTCATCTAGAGGCTAAGACAAAAGGTGACTCTTTCTGCATCTGCCGCAACGAATGTGCAAAAGACTGCTTTTCAAGGAAAGGAATTTTCAGCTATCCCAAGCGTTTTACCCCGACTTTATTCAAGTCGTTAAGGAAGCCAAGCATTGCTTTCAGAAACAGACCGGTAGAGTTTTGTCAGCCCTCTGTAATTCTTGTGTGTGTTTATGTAATTTTTTTTCTTTGCGGTGAGAATCGTCAGCTTGTGGATAGCGAACGTTTTGCCAACCGAGGGAGCGACAATGTTTTGCCGGGTATAATGCAAAATTATGATGTAATATTGAAACAGAGTTTAAAATTAAAGGGGTGCTTGCCAGTCCATGTTGGGTCTTAAGAGTGGCTATTAAACTAAATCGTAAATGTCCAGACCGCAGTCTCTCATAAACTCTCGTTATGGTAGTACTAGTTGTCCCTCCTTTGGCCATCTTCCGTTTTCTTTTCGAGTGTTTCCACTGAACAGTCCTGTGTGAAATGACTCATCTTTATAAGCTTGTGTTGCGGTAAATGCCTAGCTTAGGTTGCACGGTTACTAACACCAACATTTTCGTTTCAGGGCTGATGAATTTATGGTTATTGCTTGTGACGGCATATGGTAGGTAAATCGTCTTCAATAAACTTTCTTTCAGATCGCAGACGTTTACGCCGATGTAACGATTCTGTCGATTGCTATCTTCTCGAATCATGTATCATAAGAAGATATATGTAGAATTTGTAGCTCTCCAGTTAAACGAAAATTTTCGTTTGAATATTTACAATTTTCATTGGAATCAACTTCTTAACAGTAAAAGAAAGTTCAAGACGCTTGCCGAATTCAAGCGTTCGGTTCATTAGTTTTCCATTTCTATTGTTCTCCCTCAACTAATTGCCGTCTGCTTTTGAAACAACGGGCCTAACGATTCATGAGAGAGAGTGATTTCTGAAAAGTAACTCCGATGCAAGTAGCAGTATAGGACGTATGTTTCCGTCCTCTTTTGTGTATTAAGCAACATTTTTTCATCCTACAAGCTAAACCTTTCTTTCATTTGCTCAATTTTGGGGTACCTTAGAAAGTAAGATCTTTGTTAAGCATGCACTGTGTGTTGCTAAGATGCAGTTTCGTAAAACAGTTTCAAACCCAAGCGTCATAGCCGTGAGCTTGGTACAGTTAGGACCATCAGTTTAGCAATAAATGGATGCCTGCGCTTACAAAAACCACTTCGACGAGAGCAAACAAGATTGACAAGTTCAGAAGGTCAGGCAGAGGCTCTGATCGCAGTGTACTTTCTTTTGGGGTGAATTAACGTCTATATACTCCTTTCGGAATGCATTGGTTTCTGCAGTGTAGTTGTACCCAAAATTCTTCGACTTTTTTCAGTACTGTGACTATTTTTGCGATGAACAATAACAGATATAAGTGGTATTTTGTCCTGATTCGTAAATTTTTTAAACAACAGGAATGTGAAAGGAAGTCAGGAAGTGGTGGACTTTGTATCAGATCGTCTACGAGAACAAAGACAGAAAAATCACATCAACCTTGCTCAGATTTGTGAAGAGGTAAAAGTGTCAGTTCTCGTGTAAAGGCCTGTTAGACCTTTTGCAACAGTCGATCACGGAATTTAGTTTCTCTAGACAAGAAAACAATGCCCTCTGGAAAGATTATGTTAGCAAGAATAGAAAGAACACAAAAATGTGTAATTGTTTTGGGGGCTTATATCTCAAATGATGGTATTGCTTCGGCCGGGAAGACGGACAATCATTGCCACACCATCACATTACAGTAGGTTTACAACACAAACCCTTGTAAATTTTGAATTTCTTAAACCCTCGTAAAATCTTTTCCTTACGCATTATGCGTCTTAAAGTTTCTGTTGTGATTAATGTTTTATGTTCTTTCCAGCCTTCCTTATAATAAAGAGCCCTTTTCTTTTGAAAGAGGTTAATGATAGATATTTTAAGTAAGTGGTAAGGCCTTGTCGACTCCATAAAAAAGCTTTTACTTTAAGGTTGAAACCTGCATGAAATTTCTCCCTTGAAAATTAGCGTTGCTGCTAATTTAAACATGCTCTTTTCATTATCTTTCCAATGAAATGAAGAACTTGAAAATATAGCTTGAAGGTTTTATTTTTCATTGGTCACGTGAGCAACTAACGTCAGAGGCCTTATTAGAGAATGTTCCGCGCACTCCTTGTGATGGTATCCTTTGGCCCAGTTCAAACGTCGATCTTTTCTTGTGCCGAACTTAAACCCCTTTTTTGGCCGACCCAAATGATATAAGTTTGACCGTTTATTCGGACGTCGAACCCAACTGATTTTCACTATGTTCAACCCAAAGTGGTCTACTGTATGCTTACCAGTCAAAATAAATTTTAGTAATTTATGCATTAGATTCGGCACATGAGACGCTCGACGTTTGAAACGAATTCGCCCCATAGTCGAAATTCCCACGTGGGCCACTCGATCTTAATTCATGGATTGACCCAAATTGGACATGCCGGACTTACTGATTCAAACGTCGATCTTTTAATGTACTTTATCGAAGGGATTAGTTTCGGTACATGAAAAGGTTGTTGTCCTTTGAACTGGGCCTTAAAGCCATTCCTAAGCATTCTCGCAATATTTGTTTGCAGGATCAAACAGTCAAAATATTCCCACAGCATTTACCGCGGTTATTCGAAAAAGCGCCGCATGTTAGAGAAAAATCGAAGCTCAACTTTTGGCTACTACAGTAAGATTTTTTGCTTTTGCTTGCTTCCTTAGTTGTTAGATGCTTGTTTAGCACCAGACACGAGTGGAGATGGTTCAGGTTGTGATAACATGACGTCTATCGTGGTACTGTTTAATCCTGACTCCAGAGCGACAGAAAACAGCAAGAAACGCAAGCTGGAAGATGAAAAACCGGACAGCGAATCCGCAGACAAGCGGACCAAAGGAGACGAATCCTAATATTGTTATTCTATGATTATTATACGCACCTGTACAGAGACGTTTTAATATTATTTAGAGCACACTCATCTTAGGCTATCCGTCCGGTTCCCTCTTTACTCATTCCGGTTTACAGTCGTATCGGGGCAAACCTACCCCCATAGATCCCAGTAATGAATTGATTATTGATCATTGAATCCGATAGTCGTTGTATATATAATATCAAAATTGCTTCCGGATTCCTGCATGGGCAATGAGCGACGAATTTTAGACTTGCAGCTTCTCAACATTCGGTCTGATTGAAAAATCTTGAGTTTTTTCTGACTGAGGATCATAGTTTTGAATAGATAAAATTCAGAGTAACAAATTCAAGGAAACGGAAAATTCTTTCACTACTTCGCTTGTGAATTCACTGCTCATGAAGCATACAGGAGTGCAGAGATGAATCTATAGGAGTAGTCTTGACCTGGCTTGAATGTAAGCTGATTCCAGCTGTTATGTTTAAGGAAGATGAGTGTATGTTCCCGCAGTTAAACAGTGAGCCAATTGTGAATTTATGTTCGCTTCTCAACAAGCAAATTCAGCACAAACCTTCCCCTTACGTTTATCAAGCGATCTGAGTCTTGCTATAACATGAAGAAATACCGCCCGAAATTCGGCGTTTAGTAGAATCTTTTGTGTCTGTAAGATGTCTGTGATTGGTCGTGGCGCGAGGGAAATTGCTTCGACCAATCAGAAGCACTACGAAGATCTGGAGAGTGACACGTCATCATTATACTAACTTCCACCCTTGTTTCTTAGACTTCATTTCAAGGGTAAACCAGTGATGGCGTCCCTAAATGTCGTCTGTTTTCTCAGGCTATAATATGGTAGACTTCATGGTCATCACAGTTTTTTCCTCTTGACCGCTTTGTTCTGGGTTATACCAACGACGGAAGAAAAGGAACAGCAGTGATGGATCCATGGGAGAGGGGGTGCGGAAATGTCGGCCCGTCCTAAATCCACCCATCAATCCAAGTGTTATGTTTTTAGTAACTGACCCATCCTCGGCAGCTCGGACACCCAGGGACGATCAGTCGGGTCTGGATAAAAGGCGGTGAAAGTTCTCAAGAACGGGCGTGAGAGCCCCTGGGATAATATTCCACGACTCGTTCGAATACTTGTCTCTGATCATTTTTGTGCCCAATCGGAGGCCAGAATCTATCGCGCTGCTTTAGTGATCTTCTTATACGAGGGACTTTACCTGCAAGCTCTACTGTACGCCGTACCTCTCTGGCTGGTGCAGGAGAGCTTTCTTTAAAAGAGGGTCGTGAAGGGGGGTACCAAATCCCAGTTCCCAGGCTAATTTTTGCCAAAATCCCAGTTACCAAATCTAAAATCACATTACTAATGATTATTTGCAAAATCATGCGCATAATAAAATTAAAAGCACTGATTGACGCTATTTGGATACGCGTAACTATGCAACCGTGTAAGCCTGGTAGCTAGACCGCGGGCGCGAAGGCGAAAAATACTGATTTCACGGTCTCTACTGAGGAGTGCAAGGTCTATTGCTACGAAATTTTATTTTTCTATTTCAAAATATTGGAGCAAAGACCGCTGAAGAAAAGAAATCCCATTCCCATTTTATAATTGTTCATCCCATTCCCAGTGGCTAAATCCCAGTCCCAGTGAGTAAATCCCATTTTCCCAGTCCAC